GTTAAGCGAAACCCATTGAAATGCATTGAAGCCTATTTCAATGGGGGGAAAAAATTCACAAAAAATTCAAAAAGATTCAGAACAAAGCCAAATTAAGTTAACGAAGGTTTTATTAGGTGCACTAATGATTCCAAGCTTTTTAAACATTTTTTAAACATTTTAGAATATTTTAAAAATAGCAAAAACGGGGCTGTAAAAAAAACGTTAAGCGAAACAAGGGGACCTAAAACTGTCATCGTTAAGTGAAGCATGGTCCCGAAATCATTAAACGAAAATCGCCCATAGGGAAAATCGTTAAGTGAAGCACAAGATCGCTCTGAAAAAGCCATCTTTAAGTGAATTTTTCGTTGTACGAAGCAAGCGAGGCACCACTGTACTCGGGACACAGGCTTTATAGACCTGGATCTTGCTAAAGATCTCTAAAATATTACTTTTTAAAACAAAAAAAATCCACAAACAAAACTGCATTGTAATTGAATGCTTTAAAAGTAACAGCACTTTCCCAGCTTATCTACAAACTATTTTCTGCTTAATCCACTTAAAATCTACTTTAAAAAATCTTAATTGATCTAACTGATTCTGGAAGTCTTCAATCAGATGAATAAACTCACATTTTCAAACCACAAAAATAACTTGGAAGTACAGTATTCAGTCTAATCAAAGCTTATCTAAATCAATCCAGACAATTAATGTAAATATCTTCAATGTTACATAAAATTTACTGGTGAAAATAATAGTGAAGTATACATTTATAAATAAGTACAAAAAAGGCGGTTTCAGTACAAAAAGCTGAAAAGTGGCTAGAAGTCATTTTTTTCAACATTTTTCTCCATGGCAGTTTGCCAGCCAAACTGGAATCTCAGCCAGACTGGTCCTGGCTGTCATTGCCCAACCATGCATGAGGGCAACTAAACAGCTTTCACTCCAAAATCAGGCCAAAAGCCTGCCTGGGAGGGATCTAGATCTGCAGTTCTCAGCCTAATTCCCACGCAGATGGAAATAAACACTCATCCTTTCCAAGAAGGACAATTATTTGCTTACAGCGTTCTGTTATTTGATGTATCGTACGTTGGTGGGCCAGGGAAACAGTCTTGCCAGGGATTGGGTGAAACTCCTAACATGCCAAAGGGTCACACATACATAAGCCATGATAGATAAGACTGGCAGAAGACAGCATATCACAGTTATAAAATAACATACATTTATTTATTTATTTATTGGACTTATATACCGCCCCATAGTGCTACAAGCACTCTCCGGGCGGTTTACAATTTTAATTGAACAGGCTGCACATTGCCCCCCCAGCAAGCTGGGTACTCATTTTACCGATCTCGGAAGGATGGAAGGCTGAGTCAACCTAGAGCCGGCTACCTGGGATTTGAACCCCAGGTCGTGAGCACAGTTTTAGCTGCAGTACAGCATTTTAACCACTGCGCCACGAGGCTCTTAACATGGGAATTAAGGGTGTGTGAATTCTTAGCTACCATTGTTATCAAAATTGTGTGTCCTGTCTAAGCACCTCTGTGTCCTACATGTACCACTAGTTGAAGACTCTTTATCTAGCTAAAGACTTCATCCAGAAATCTCCAAAAGGTGTGTGACATGACCAGTAGCTAACACATTCTGCTCAGGAAAGATTTACTTGAAAAGAAGGCAAGCATATTAAGTCTGAGGAATCCAAAGACAGTGCCTTTCGTCCCAAAAAGAAGCTATATGACCACTTCTTTTATTGTCCTCCATATATCCTCCCTCCCTTCAAGGAAGCATTCCACCTGACAAGAGGCAAGCTTGACAGTATTAACTGCAGAAGCCTGACTGGACAAAGATCAAGGACACAAACAGCCAGAACACTTATCCAAGGCTTCTGTTCGCCCCCTTTGAACCAATAAAGGAAAATATCCAATAAAACAGAACAAACGAAATGCTTCTGGAAACTAAAAGTCAATTCTCAGCAAAGCAGAATCTTAAGTCCAAACGGATCTGGCTGATTTTCTCTACAAATTGCTGAACAAAATCACTTTCGGTCCTCCTAGTGATCTTCCAGTTCTGAGGATAAACTTGCAATAGGCCTTTTGTGAACGGCATTTTAAACAGGGAATCGCCAAGCCAAGGAATTTCCTGAAACTCGCAAAATAGACCAGGCGGTTCTAAGCAGGAGATATACTGCCAAATCTGTTTTGTTCCACTCGAACCATCATGGCTTCCTCCAAAGGATCACGGGAACTATAGTTTCCCCAACGTCCCGAGAAGAAGGTCACTGAGCATCAAGGCTTCTTAAACAACTACATCTCCCAAGATCCCCTAGGAGAAACTATAGGAATAATAAGCCTCATTGGGGGGAGGTCAGTCAGCAAAACCGCCTCATCCATATCGCTTAAGGACACATTCCCGCCAAGCCGAAGTGATTCCTGCTCCCCTAAATCACAGCCTCTTTGGAAGCTCACCTCTCAGCCCGGCCCGGCTCAGGCCCCGCACAACTGCTAACATCCCGTCCTCTCGGGCTCCTCGTTCCTAGAGCCGCAAAACTCCCAAGGACACGGACCCCCCGGACGGCTACGGAGCATGCGCGCGCCATCGGGCGCCGGCTTCTATTGGCCGACGTCAAGGGGGGGAGGAATCCTGCGCGCGCCGTTTCCACCACGGAGAGCCAATCTGTGCGCGCGAGGGCTTCACCCCCCTCCCCCGCATCCGGAAATGAAGGCAGCTCACGCGGATCGGGGGGGGGATCGATCGGCTGGGGCTGCTTCCGAGAGCGCGCGGAGGCCGGAGTCGGGAAGTCCACCTTTCATGATACCTCCAAGATTGGCCTTCCAAGCTGGTGGCTTTCAGGTGCATTAAACTGTAGCTGTGCTGACTATGTAATGGTGGGAGGACACCCAAGCTAAGCATGGTTGTTCTAGGAAGTCACAACTACTTTCAATGGTTACAAATCACATAAAGAGCCTGGGGAATGAAAGGAGGCGCCGCAAGTAAGAGTTGCCGCCCGTCCCCGTGTCGTGGCCGCCGGACTCGTTCCTTGCCCGTTGCGGGGGCGAGGGTGTTCGTTAGCCTTCGCCAGAGGGAGGGGCAGTCCCTGCCTGATCCCGGGAAGGGGGGGGGCTTCCCGAGTCGCCCTTCGAAAGCAGCGCCCCGGGGCCGCCGGGCTTTGAGCTGATTGCTGGAGCCCGTGGATTTCCCCCCCCCTCCCCGGCCCTGTAAGCGCTGCGCAGGAGGGAATGTGGCGGGTGCCCTGCGGGCTCCGTGCCCTGATGCTTGCTTGAGAGCTGGGCTCGCCACCGCCGCCTAGTTAACGGGGGAAGGGATGCATGTGGGAGAGGCTGCTCCGGAGTCGCGTGTGTTTCCCACTTAACCGTCCTTGCTCCACTCTTGAGCCTGGAGAGTTTTGGATTGGCCTCTTTCTCATTTGCAAAATCAAGCAATCCTGTCCAAAACTCATCTAGCAATGCGTTCTGTTGCATTCGTTTCAGCTTTCTTCGGAGCGAGTCACGTATAGATAGAATCGTGCTTGGCCCTGGCCTAAGAGGCTGTTTCTGACCTAGCCACTATTTTGCCATAACCTTCCCTTCTCATCTCTCACAACGCTTCTCTTTATAGTGGGCTGGCTTTATGCACTATAGAAGACAGCCTTAAAAAAAAAGATGTTATGTTCCAAAAATGGTATCTAAATCCTTGACAGTCACCCTGGTGTGGTTGTACAGCATTAGGAAAGGCACAGAAAGCGTGCTTGTCCCTGTTTGCAAATTAAAGTAGTGGTGTGTTCACCATATTAGGCAAAACAGAAGCCATTGGTTCAATTGGTAGATATAAACATGCTTGCTTTTGCATTAGACTGACTGTTAGGAACACAACCATGGTGGCGGGTGCTCTTTTGCTGTAATGCAGTTTTTGAAATAGAAAGGGTGGTGGTTCAAAATGGCACATCACAACTCTTTATGTCACAGGTTATTGATTGTGCGGATGGGAGTTGAAGTCCAATATTTTGAAAATGTTTTACTCTGACACATAGAACTTTGTGGAGTGGCTGGTTGTTGGAAATTCATCACATAAATGTGTACATAAAAGTACAATACATTAAAAAATCTTCAGAATAATTTTCTTCAGGCTAGCTGGCTCCAACAAATTTAACTGGGATGTGTAATATGCTTCTCAAAATGTGCAAAGTCTAGCCATCCGTAGCTACCCAACTTTTGGGAAGTGATCTAACTGGTCAGACTTGATAAATATGGTACACTGTGTCTGTACTGTGCTGTATATGGAAATTATTTTGTAGATTCACAGGAATCCAATAGCATACTCCAGAAAGCAAAAAATTGCATAAAATCATCTGGTGATCTTTCTATATGATAAGATATAGTTGTTTTCCTGGCTTGTAGTACACCTTTAAAAATATTTAATTGTATCAGCCAACAATTTGATTGTTTTCACTGACATACAATACAGCAGAAATCTGTACTAAAGACTCTCCAATATCTGTTACATTTTAGATTGCTGGAGGTCAGATCAAGGCAACAACATGGACTCGCTAGAGGAGACTGGAGGTTCCTCAGCAGAGGAAACTGGAAATTCTTCAGCAGAAGAAAACTATTTTGTGAATTACACTTTCACTGACCGTTCTCATTCAGGCCGTGTAGCCCAAGGAATTATGAAATTATGCCTTGAGGATGAGCTCTTCGCTGATGTCACCATTTCTGTAGAAGGCAAAGAGTTCCAACTACACCGGCTAGTCCTCTCAGCTCAGAGTTGCTTCTTCCGTTCTATGTTCACCTCCAATCTGAAGGAGGCACATAACCGGGTGATTGAATTACGGGACGTTAGCGAGAGTGTCTTCCAGCTTTTAGTAGATTATATTTATCATGGAACAGTGAAGCTGAGGGCAGAAGATTTGCAGGAAACGTATGAGGTGGCAGATATGTACCAGCTTACTGCCCTCTTTGAGGAGTGTTCTCGTTTCTTGGCTCGGACTGTACAAGTAAAAAACTGCTTGCAGATTATGTGGCTGGCAGACCAGCATAGTGATACAGAGCTCTACACAGCTGCCAAACACTGTGCCAAGTCATACTTATCCCAACTCAAAGAAACAGAGGAGTTTCTGCACCTTCCTCTCCGTCTCCTGACAGATATTGTCTCAGGTAGGTAGAATGGCAAGTGAGACCATGTTCTCTGCTCCAGGTATTTGGGGATAATATGGTTTCTTATAACAGTTAACGAGACCAACTTCTCAGTTTCTCTCACACATTTAACATTTAAAAATAACATACTATCTGGCCTCAAAGAGGCAAGGTAAATTTCAGTTTTGCAAAAAACTCCCTAGGGCCTAAAATTAGCTTGTGGGAGGGGGTGTTGGGGTTTGCATGTTATCCACAGACTGTTACTACTCATGCTACATGACCTGTACCATGAGCTAAACACCAGCATCTTGGTTCTGCTGCAGACTTATCAGTAGCTTTTGAGATCATCTGTCATCCTTTAGGAACTTCTGGTTGGGACTAGAGATGGGAGTTTCTGGAAAAAAAAGAACTCCCAGCCCCATAAATCAGTGGGAATCTCGGGGCCAAATTGTCGGACTGGGAGCTGGTCAAACAGCAGGAGATGTAGCAGCTGCCCTACCTCCATGCCATTCCTGCACCATTTTTTCTGCACCTCTGAAAGGTATTCCACTGTACCTTGGTGAGTCATTGCAACTTGAATACATGGGGAAATGAGTCCCTACAGAAGCTGTTCTCCATAAAGACTACGGAGGCAGCCTCTGTAGGGACAGTTTGCTCCATGCACACTTGGAAGTTGCAGGGAATCTTGCAATTCACAAAGGTGCAGCAGGGCACATTTCAAAGCCATTTTACACCTCCCTGTCCCATAATGTGCCCTGGGGGTTCTTGCCCAGTTATGGTACTGGGAGCTCTTTCCCCCCTAGTTGGGACTTGGAGGCAGTATTTTAGAATACTGTAGTTGTTATAGTTGTTAGATAATGTCACAATCCTCTGGGAAAAAACACAAGTTCATCATCTAGAAACCCTCCTGGACCTCATTTTAACTCTGGATGATCAGGTGATACCATATTTTTCGCTCCATAAGACGCACCTCTCCATAAGACGCACCAAATTTTTAGGAGAAGAAAACAGGAAAAAAATAATCTGTTTTCTTCTCCTAAAAATTGGTGAGCCTTATGGAGAGGTCGGTCTTATGGAACACACCCTAGGCCCCTTTGGAGGCTCACCCAGCCCCCCCGGGAGGCCAGAGGGGGCGAAATCGCCATCTTCTGGGACTCTTCTGAAGCTTCCCAAACCTCAAAAGAGTCCCAGAAGGTGGCGATTTTGCCCGTGCTGGCCCCGTAGGGGGGTGGGGGGAGCGTCGCCAGGGTCCTGGAAGGCTCACTCGGACCCTTGCGACGCTCCCCCACCCCCTTACGGGGCTAGCACAGGCGGAATTGGCACCT